TTTTCTAGCCCTCCACCTTTTCCCAGAATGATGCCTTTTTCCAAGGATTGGCCCCTCCTGAAACATGCCCAAAGTATGTTAGATGAAATTTTATAGATCCTTGCCCCTAACAAGTTCACCCGTTGCACTTCTTCCAAGATGGATATGTTTGTTCTTTTGGCAGTCTGTAGTACATTAAGTACTCTTCTCCAACACCACAACTCTAAAGAGGATAATAGTCAGTCATAAAGAGGAATGAAGTCTAATACATGCCACAAAATGTATGAACCTTAAGGACAATATGCGACTTGGGGGGGAAAATCAGACAGAAAAAGACAAATATTGTACACTGTCACTTAACTGAGGGAGTTCTGGTCCTTAAGAAGTCATGATGCTAATGAAAGACCAGATGTCTCCAGTGCTTCTAATCTACCCTCAGTCTTGTGGGAGAAAGGTGGACATCTCCTCCTGTTACCGTTTAGCACCTGGGGAATCTGGGAGGCTTGTTATGAATCAGAACCAATGTGACTGCAGTGAAGTTTTGAGGTATCATTTGAAATAAACAAATATATAGAAACCAAAAAGAATAAGAAGAAAGAAGAGGGGTTTTGTTTTGAGTATGTTACACATAAGAGAGGAAGGATAGTCTAGAAAAAAACACCGAAAATAGTTACATAACTTGTTGCTGTGCTGCTGACTGTCTTCAAGTCAAGCACGACTCATAATGACCCTATGAACAAAAGGCCTGAAGCCCCTTTACAACTATCTACATTTATCAAAGTTCACAGGGCTTCCAGAGGCATATTGTTTAGGAAGTGGATGCCACTTCTGCTTCCAAACACAACTTAGAAAATGTAAATAATCCAAATCAAGTCCACATGTATTAATTGATGAGGTGTTGTGAATGTATTCTACAACAAAAATGAAAAACAAAAGCCATATTCTGATTTAGTAGCATTTCTAGTAATCAATCAGATAAATTAAAGGCCAAATTTGAGTAGCAAAATCCTGCAGGTAATTAATTGCAAGCAGCAGATTTGCACTGTGCTTTATAGTTTACATAAAGCCCAGTTTCTCAGATTTCCACCGTGTCAAAACTTAGTACTATATCCAGACCAAAATAAAATATTCCTAGTCTGCAGACAACATCTTGTTCTGGAGCTACAGGGCTTTGTATCAATTGATGGCTGTCTATCTGTGCAGACAACTAAGATCTTCATTGAAGTCATTGAGGGCTTTGTCACTTTCTCCTGTTTGTCTTCTTTAGACCACGTCTCTCAAGCAAATGCCACCCATTTATGCTTATGGTTTGGCTAAAACATTAAGGTTGGCTTTCCAACCTTAAAAGGGACAATTTGCTTTTTCCGTTGGATATGTACTTTCCAATATTTAGGGGGGGAGTAAGGTTTTTCCCTTTTCAAACATTTTTCTCTGTATTCATCATTTTTACTAATGCCATACACCAAAAAAATCAGATTTGTCATGTCTGTTGAGTGTGGGACAGACAGCATGTGCTGGGATTTCAGTTTGTTTCGTTTACTTGTCACCACTACTTGTCACCATATGAAAACAGAGCTGGAAGTATACAAATTCATCATGCAAGCTGCATAACATCACTCCCAGACAACAGTTTTCACAGCGTGGTCCTACTTAAGCTAGGGAGTGATTATGCCTCCTGAGAGCTATAAATACGACTCTAATTAGTGCATTTACAAACAGCTGCTTCCTGAGCTGGATGTGCACACAAGTTTAGACCCTGTTGCCAGGTGCTACTGAGTTGATTTTGAATTGTGGGGTAGAGTGGAACTGCTGTATAGGATTTTCTTGAGTCTCATATGTATAGAGGCAGACCACCAAGTTTTTCTCCTATAGAAACCCTGAGTGGGTTTGAACCATCAACCTCTGGTCAGCAGCTGCACGCTTAACCATTGCACCACTTGGGTTCCTTGATTAGGCTTTAGAAACCCACTGTCGTGGAGTCTATTCTGACTCAGAACATGCATATATGGCAGAGTAGAACTGCCCACACAGTTTCCAAGTATATCTCTGAAGGAGCAGGCTGCCTTATCTTTTTTTCCAGGGGAGCACCGCTGGTGAGTTTAGTTAGGTGCCCAGTACTTGACCCACTGTACCACAAGATCCCCTTTTAGACTTTGGGCTGTCATTTTTACACATTTTCCCCTCATAGTCTATGCTGTGTCTGTTCTTGAGTATTTGGGAACAAATACAAGATCACTGGACCATCCTAATTCCACTCAGAATGAGATGTCCTGTCAGATCTCCCATTTTCTGAAGGAAATATGTTGCAAAGTCCTGGTTCCTCCAACAAAAGAATACACTAGTGACCAGTGGAAACAGGACTTTCAGGGCTCTCAAATGTCGAGATCAGATTTGACTTTCTTTAGCTTTAATTTGAACTTGCATATGAGTAGTTGAGGGTCTGTTCTGCAATCAGCACCTGGCTTAGTTTTTACTGCTGACATTGAACTCCTTCAACAATTCCTTCCACAGATGTAATCGATCTGATTCTTGTGCATCCCATCAGGTGAAATCCATGTGGATAGCATGTGTTTATCTTTCTTATAAAAGGTACTTGCAATGAATAAATAATTGTGCAGAATTACATAATTCTATCCCCAGCCTCATTCCTGTCACCAATTCCATGTTTTCCAATTACTGATCCTTCTTTCTGGTTCCCAACTTTCGTATTATTATTTCCCAGTCATTCATTATTATTAATTCATCTTGATTGCATGTTCCATTAATTTCTGACTGCAAAAGTTGGTAGAAATCATATATTTCCTCTTCTTTGGATATGGTTGTTGGTGCATAAATTTGAATGACAATGGTATTAACAGGTCTCCCTTTTATGCCTATGGATATTATCCTGTGGCTCACAATATTGTATTTCAAGATGGATCTAGAAACCACCTTTTTAACTATGAAAGCAAACCTGTTTTTTTCTCACCTTTCCATCACCAACATAGTAGATCATATATGATCATCTGATTCCAATGTCCCACACCAATCCATCTTATTTCACCAATACCTAATATGTCAATATTTATGTGTTCCATTTCTTTCTTACCAATGTCCAGTTTTCCTACAATCATGTTTCTCACATTCCAATAATTAGTTTCTGTTTATAACTGTTCCTTTTCCTTTATGTTTCCAAATTTGAGGGTTCAGCCTCAGTTGCCATATTTTTTAGTCTATTTGAAGTGCATTGTATTATACATAGGGTTTTCGAAGGTTTATTATATTTTAGAAGTAGATGGCTAAACCTTCTTCTTAAAAATCCTCACCACTGGGCCAATTGGCAACACTATAATAGATGGAGACGAGATAGAGATTGTTAAGTTACAGCTTGCTTGGCTCCACAATAAGCACTCTTGACACCAGCAGTCAGGAAATCAGAAGATGAATTGCACTGGGAAAATTTGCTATCAGGGACTTTCCAGAATACTGAAAAACAATGATGTCAGTTTAGAGACTAAAGTGTACCTAATCCAGGCCATGATCTTCACAATTATTTGTTATGCATCAGAGAAGTGTACAATCACCAAGGATGACAGAAGAAGAATTGATGCTTTTGAGTTGTGTGTTGGAGAAGAGTCTTGACATACTATCGACTGTCAAGAAAACAAGTCTGTCTTGGAGAGGGTGAAACCAAGTTTCTCTTTGTAGGCTAGGATTTTGAAGCTCCATTTCACATACTTGGGCATGTGGTCAGGAGGCACCAGTCCTGGCAAAAGACATGCTTGGAAGGGCAGAGAGACAGCGCAGGAGAAGACAACCCAGATGAGATGGATTCATACAGTAACAGGGGCACTCTGGGTTGGTGTGTTGGAATTAGTGAGACTGGCTCAGGACAGGGCAGGAATTCAGAGCTACTGTACATAGGGTTGTTATGAGTCACAGGTGACTTGAGGGCACATAACAACAACCAATGTCAAACATGTTATAAGGTGGGCCAGGCACACCATGATTCAAATTCTTGATGTTTCCCACCCCGGATCAACAGTACAATCATTTCTATTATAGCATAAAAATCTATGTCTTGTTTTTTTAAAAAAAGACAAGATTTACCAGACTAGAAGAGATCAGAAGAACCCTAGAGATCATTAGGCTTTGAATGGGAATGAAACTATCCCCAGAAATCACTTTTCAATAAAATAACAGATTGACTCATGAGATAGTCAAAATCATCCATGAATATTGTCAACTAATGATTTTTTATGTTATTCAATGACTCCGTGTGTTCCCTCCATCTTTTTTTTTAACTATTTAAATCGTTTAGGACATAGATGGATATTTAAATCAACTACTATTTAAATATTTTAGTTTTTATTTTTACTATAAACAATTTAGGATTTTGGGTATTTAATTTTTTATTTTATATTGGTTTGTATACAAAATTCATAGACATTGTGTTTGACACTATCCTTCATTCACATTGTATTTCATACAATCATTCACATACACTATGATTTATAAAATTAATCGCCATTGAGCTTTGCTCATCATTACTCTGTCTTTTCAGGTCCCCACTAGATCCTTCCCATTTCCTTTAGCCTCTCCCTCTACCCACCAAATTGAGCAACCCTATGATTTCTCCTCTGCCCACCCTCACCCCTCAATTGTCATCCCTTCCCCCTTGGATCTCTATATACATTTTACTAGTTATCCTATTCTTACAATAATGGTCTATGTAGTATTTTTCCTTATGAGACTGCGTGAGTTCACTCAGTATATTGTCCTCCGTTTCTTTCAAATTATATAGCATTTTTGAAAATTGTAATCCCTGAGGGCTATGTAGTATTCCATGGTGTGAATGTACCCCGATTTTTTTATTGTGGTTGCTTGTGGGTCATTTGAATGTTTTCTGTGAAAGGTCTTTACATGTCTTTTGCCCATTTTGTAATTGGGTTATCAGTCTTTTCCTTGTGGAGACCCTGTAGGATTCTATAAACTTTTGTTTTGAGATCCTTGTCCGAGATGGTATTGCCAAATGTTTCTCTTCAATTGCTAGATTTTCTTTTCACCAAACTGGAAAAAAGTTTTTATACACACAAGAATTTAAGCTTGATGAAGGTCACATTCATTAATTTAATCCTCTTCTGGTTGTGTATTTCTGGCTGTATTTGTTGCCTCAAATGAAATCAAAGTCATATTTTGGCTCCTATGTATTTGGTTTAATTTTCCTCAGCTTCAGCTTGAACTTGCATATGAGTAATTGGTGGTCTGTTCCACAATCAGCCCCCGGCCTAGTTTTCA